CTTGCCCTAGCAGAGCTAACTTGTCCACACTTCCAGGCCACAGTGCTTGACTCGAGACAGAAACTCTGGGCCCAGGCGAGAGCTCTGGGTAGCAGGTAAGCCAAGGGGCTTCTACCTGCTCCAAGCTGGTTGAAATGGTGATGGCTGGGTGAAAGGTGGGCCAGAGGGAGGAAAAGAGAGTCACAAGAAGTTTCTGATACACATTCAGTCAGCAAATATTTACTGAGTTCTCCTGTGTGCCAAGCACTGGAGATAATCATAACAAAGCCAATCTGTCCCCTGCCCCCAAGCCAATCCCTGTCTTTATGGGGGAGACAGACTGTAAATAATTCAGTAATTGATACACATGTTATTAAGCAGAGATAAGTGCTATGAAGAAAAATAAAACAGGGTAAGAGAATTGTAATGATGGTGGAAGGATGGGGCTCATTTTGACCATCAGGAAGGTCTCTGAGAAGCTGACATTAGACCTAGAACGAATGGAGTGAGAAACTGAGCCACGTGAATACCCAGGACAAGAACATCCAGGTGGAAGGAACCGCAAGTGAAAAGCCTGGAGGGAGGAACAGGATGTTAGAAAAACAACAAGGCCACTGTGGCTGGAGCGGAGTGAGGGGCAGAGTGGAAAGAGGTCAGGAGAGCGGTCTGGCAAACTTCAAAAATGAATTTGAATTTCATTCTGAGTGTGATGGGAAGCCACTGGAGAGTTTTCAGAAGAGTTATAACTTCTCATCTAAAAAGTTAGGTGGGGTACCATAGCATATATGTATTAGGATGGTTAAAAATTTTTTTTTAAAGTTATAATACCTAGTGCTGGCAGGGATACAGAGCAACTGTAACTTTCATACACAGCTTGTGGGATGCAAAATGGCACAGCCAGTTTGCAAAAGAGTTTGGCCATTTCACATAAAGGTAAACTGACAACATGCAACCCAGCAATCCTGCTCCCAGGTATTTACCCAAGTGAAATGAAGTTTATGTTCACACACAAACCTGTACACAAATGTTTACAGTAACTTTTTTTTTTACAATAATCCGAAACTGGAAGCAATCCAAATATCCTTTAACCAGCCCGGCCAGCGTGGCTTAGTGGTTGAGTATCGACCTATGAATCAGGAGGTCATAATTCGATTCTTGGTCAGGGCACATGCCTGGGTTGTGGGCTCAATCCCCAGTAGGGGGCATGTAGGAGGCAGCTGATCAATGATTCTCTCTCATCATTGATGTTTCTATCTCTCGCTCTCTCTCCCTTCCTCTCTGAAATCAATACAAATATATTTTTAAAATATCCTTTACCTGGTACATAGCTAAATTGTAGTACATCCATATAAGAATACTGCCAGGCAGTAAAAAGGAATGAACCATAGATAATACACACAACAACCTGGCGGGACCACAAGGGTACTGTGCTTAATAAAAAAAATTCAATCTCAAAAGGTTACATACTGCATGATTTAATTTTTTAAATATATTTTCATTGATTTCAGAGAGGAAGGCAGAGGGAGAGAGAGATGGAAACATCAATGATGAGAGAGAATCATCGATAGCTGCCTCCTGCATGCCCTCCACTGGGGATCGAACCCGCAACCATGGCATGTGCCCTTGACCAGAATTGAACCCAGGACCCTTCAGTCCACGGGCTGACGCTCTATCCACTGAGCCAAGCCAGCTAGGGCTGTATGATTTAATTTATATAACATTCTCAAAATGACAAAACTATAGAGATGGAGAGCAGATTAGTGGTTGCCAGGGGACAGGGAGATGTGAAGTGAGAGTGGGTGTGACTACAAAGAGGTAGCACTGGAGTTCTTTGGTGGCAATGTGACAGTTTTCTACCTCAATTGTGGTGGTAGATACATGAATCTATGCACAGGATTGAAGTGCGTAGAACTATACACACACCCTCATACACAAATGGATGCAGGTTTAAAAAATGGTGAATACTAAATAAGGTATGTAGTCTAGTTAACAGTAACGTATCAGTATCAATGTCCTGTTTTTGATATTTCACTATAGCTCTACATAAGCTTTATCTAGCCGAACTGGTTTGGCTCAGTGGATAGAGCGTCGGCCTGCAGACTCAAGGGTCCCGGGTTCGATTCCGGTCAGGGGCATGTACCTTGGTTGCGGGCACATCCCCAGTGGGGAGCGTGCAGGAGGCAGCTGATCGATCTCTCTCATCGATGTTTCTAGCTCTCTATCCCTCTCCCTTCTTCTCTGTAAAAAATCAATAAAATATATTTAAAAAAAATAAGCTTTATCTAAAGCTCTGTATATAAGTTCTATATAAGATGTCACCATTGTGGAAAATTAGTTGAAGGGTACATGACACCCTATTATTTTTGCAATTTCTTGTGAGTTTATAATGATTTCAAAACTAAAAGTTTAGAAATACAAACCCTAGCAGGTAGGTAAAAAGCTATAAAAGACTTTTAAAAAAAGTTGGGGACATTTGCAAAGGGATGTATAAAAGATGACATTTGGGAGTTATTGTCAACTTTCTTAGGTATGATAACATATGCTTATCACATGTCCTCATTTTTAGTGTATATGCTGAAGTTTTAAGAGGTAAAGTGCCAGCGTCTACAACATAGTTTCAGATTTTCAACCAATTTGTGCCTAGGGACATATATCATTTTAAAATATGAAAAATGCGAACAATTATTAAATCTGGGTGGTAGATTTATAGGTGTTGGCTGTCTTATTCTTTTAACTTTACATTTGAAAATTTTTGTAATAAAAAGTCGAAAGAAAGAAGAAAAGGAACCGTTGTGTGTACAACGATATGATGAATCTCAAAAGCATTATGGTAAGTGAAAAGAGCCAGACTCAAAAGGACACACACTGTAAGATACCATTTTGGAAAAGGCAAAACCGTAAGGACAGAAATCAGATCAGTGGCTGCCTGTGGCTGGGGTGGGGGGGTGTTGGTCACTACAGAACAAGAGGAAATGTTGGGGATGTGGTGAACATATGAATATAGAATATTCTATATTTTGATTATAATAGTGGTTACATACTTGTGTTCGTTGTAGAACTGCACATTTAAAAAGATGAATTTTAATGCAAATTATACCTTTAAAAAAATCAGAGGAAAGTATGTGCAGGAGAACCACTAATAAAACAAGCAACACGAGGACAAAGATCTTATCTGTCTTGGACTTGCTCATTGTGCTTATAACACACTTGGCATCTACTAAGCACTGAATAAATATTAGCTAGGATGTGCAGCAAGTTCCCCCCCAATAAAACCCCTGTGCTCCAGGGGCTGTGGGCTGTGCAGTATCATGCCGCGCAGGCTGGGCAAAGCAGCTGCTCTGCTCGATGGCTCTTTGCAGAATGAGTGATTTGGCCTTGTCTTACTCCCATGGCTTTGATGTTTTTTTCTGCTGCATCATCTGGAACAGTGAGATCCTTTGGTGTCCTTTATCCTGGTGCTTTAGGCTGGAGGGAGCCCTGTGGGCCACCTTAGGGACCAGCAATAGCTCCAGGAAGTGGCACGTGGCTACTCCAACAGAGGCCCAGGTAAAGGCATTTACCTTTCTCCTGAGACTTGTAAGTCGAGACCAAACGTCCGTCGCCATGCTGCAGACTAGTTCAGTTTGAAGAGAGAAGTTAGAAATTTCCTTTCCAAACATAAAAATGCTAAATAGATTCGATACTTTGTTTTCTGGCTTAAGAATAACTACTATTTGGCTTTCTCAGTTCCAGGTCCCTTTACAGGCGCCCAGTTAGCCTTACAGCACTTGAATATGGTGCTCTGGTTCGTTGTTCCATTGTACAGGTGAGATAGCTGAGGCTCAGAGAGGTGAAGTGACCTGCCTTTGGCCATATCTTGGTGTGCTCTCACAGCTGACCTTGCACTTACCGGCTCTTCCATATGGCTTTCACATGGGGCTAGTGGCCACCCCCAACCCTTTCGGCCACTAGCCCTAACCCTACCTGGGTGCAGCCTTTATGTAGAGTTACTGTGGGTCCAGCAGCACCACGTGGGCCATGGAAGTCTCTTCCTCTGGCACAGAATGGATGTTCTCTCTGTAGTAGGGTGAGTGGTCCTATTTAGGTCAAATATAGAAAGGAAAGGAAGGGGGGAGGGGAGGAAGGGGAGGTGAGAACACGCAGAAAACACCAGATGCTCTTTCTAGCTTAAAAAAAACTCCACAGACATTAGGGAACAGATTTTTATCACAGTCTGTTAGGAGGGAAAGGGGAGGGCGAAGAGCAGGCTGGGGAAGGAAGAAAGGGCGTCTATCCAAGACCTCAGAATTGGGTCCGGGGCCCATTGATAAAGACAGAGATGGCAATAGTCTCAGACACTGGGCAGCAGGTGCTGAGCTAAGCGCTCCACCTGAGTCATCTCAGGTAACTTTCCCAGTAACGTCTCAGACTTAACGACTTCTATTTCCTTTCTCATTGTAGATTAGGAAACTGGGGCCCAGAGAGTACATGCACCAAATCACATAGTTTCATATGTGAAAATATCAATACACTAACATATTAATACACTAATTGGGGTCAGGAAGGACACACTTGAAAGTAACAGCAGTATTTACCTGGGGAAGGGGCGTGATAAAGGTGGGGAGCTTTCGCTTTTTATTGCAGTGTAATATATATATTTTTTACATTGGGAATGTGTACTCATGTGTGTGTGCTTTAAAAAAAAGTGGGCGGTGGTAAAGACCGTGTCCAAGGATCGATCCCATCACTAGTTTGGAGCCGGATCTCAGACTGCAGGTTCCAGTCTGTAACCTCTGCGCTGCGCTGCCTTTCGAAGAAAGGACCCGACTTCTGAGAGGCGTGGGCCCCTGGCCCGGCTGCCTTCCCGGGGTTCCCGCGGGGACTGGGCCAGTCCCTCCCTCCCTCCGGGAGCCCGTTGCTGGGTGTCCAGCCCCAGGCCCGCCCACTGTCGCGGAGCCGACTCCGCCAATCGGACCTGGGAGATGAGCGTGGCAGGAAATCAAGGTCAAGGCCCCGGACACAATGGGGCCGTTGTCGGCCTCAGTCAGTTGACTTACAAGCAGCAGCTCCCCATCCGCCCGCGCTCCTTCTCCCCAGCCCCGCTCCCCACCAGGGCGTCACTAAAACCGACGGCCTCCTTCGGGGTCCCACCCTGGACGGGGAAGGCCGGGCCGCCCGGTGCATGGCCCAGTGTGTCCACCAGGTGGCAACCGAGCACCGCACTTCTGAGGTCGGCGTGGGAGGCCAGGGGCGGGCCGCTCAGCCACTGACAGGGGCCTGAGGGGACCCTGCCCTTTCTGCTTTATCCAAGAAGCCAGGTCAGATCGCACGTTTCCTCACCCTTTGCTCCGAGCTCACCGAGATCTGGAATCCCAAGGGCACTTCCCGCAGCAAACGGCAAAATGGCCGTGGACTACAGCACTTTTCCTTGATGGAGAGGAAAAGCCTGGGGAAGCTCTTTACGCCGCAAGTCACATCAGGTGGGACCTGACCGTCTCTCTGGTCTGGATTAATGAACTGGCTGATTGATTGGTTACGTTAGTGTATAAATGTCATCTCTGAAAGCCCCCACCCCACCCCCACCCCACCCCGTCTAAATTATGTCCTTCTTGTTCTCGCTCAGAGCCAGCTGTAGTTTTCCTTCTTGGCGTGTATTGCCATTTGTAATTGGACACATATTTGATTCTTTTCCACTAGAAAATATGCTCTGCGAGAGCAGGGACTGGTCAGGTTTTGCTCACCAATTCGTCCTTAGTACGGGATCTGGCACACAGTAGGTGTTCGATAAATATTTGTCAACATAATACATGGACCAGTGCCCTACTGAATAGGAACTGGGCTTCCGTTTCTGACAGTTCGGCGTGTGCGAACACAGGTAGAGTCTGGGCCCTCTGAACAGGCTGCACCTGCCCAGACTATCAAATCAGAGAGGCATGCCCTGGAGGCAGAGGGCTCTCGGGTTAAGGCTTCTGGTTCTGGGCTCTGGCCACCTGGCTTCACAATCTTACCTTCACCCCACACCTGCTGGGCCACTTGGCGCACATCGCTTGCTCTTCCTGTTTCAGTGACCTCGTCTGTAAAATGGGGACACCTACCTCCTGGGGCCGTTTTGAGGGTTCTGAGAAGTAACGGGTGGAAGGTGCTTGGCGCAGAGCCTGGGGCACAGTAAGCACTCGGTGAATATTAGCCAACATTATTATTGCTGTTGCTCTTGTTGGGGAAGAAACGTTCACAGAGGTCAACGCTTGAGTGTCCAGGGCATGTGCCAGCTGAGGTGAGGGTCTGGGGCTGAGCGGGCAGTCCCGCTGGGACCCGTCCCTTGTCACTTCTCCTGGCTCGGTGTCTTCTGAGGGCTGGTTCAGGAAGTTGAGGCTGGTGGGGACCCATCCCTTCCTCTGGGTGGCAGGTGTTACTCTCTGGTCAGGGTCAGACCTGCCTCTGCTGCAGTCGCCTCGGGGACATTCTCCTGCTGCCTCAGCCTCCCTGGGACACCATGGCCCACGCAAGCCCTTGGTAAATGCACATGTCAGTGGGGGGGGGAGGGGGTGGGTGCCAGGTCCTGGGGACAGCGGTGCGCAAAGTCATCTTGTCTCTGCCCTCAAGAAACACCCCATCCTGGAGGGGAGGGGAGATGGTGATTAAAGCAACATGTCACTGTGATAAAGGGACAGGCCAGGCCTGAGCCATTCCCTCAGGAAGTGACTTGTGGGCTGAGAGCTGAAGATTGGGGATGAGGAGCTAGCCAAGAAAACCCCTCCCTTAAAATGGCCCCTCCTGGGGACCGCTCTGATGACCCAGCAGATTCTCAGGCCCTTCCTGGGCCAGGCAAATGGTCGGGTGGGAGAAGACTCAAAACACACCCCCACCTCCTCACCCCCCACCTCCCGCCAGCACACAGGCTTCTACTGAGATCTGCTGCCCTCACCTGTGTCATCTGGGGACGTACCCACACCATGTCAGACCCCCAGCCCTACTCTGTGACACTGATGCTGGCCAGGTCTGGCCCAGTCAGTGCGCCAAGCTGAGCTCAGGCCCCTTCCATTGTGCCAGGGTGCACTGGTTCTGCCACTTGCTCCCCTCCCCATGAAATATCCAACCAGCCCTCATTTTTGAGACAATGGAATTCAACAGCCACAGGATTGTTAGGGGTGAGGGTGGAGGAGCAGTGGAACCTTCCTGAGCCCACCTGCTGCGTCCCAGCCCTGAAAAAGTGGGCCAGGAGCTGAGGCAGAACTGGGCTCGAGGAGGAAGAGATATGATGGGCTGCAGAGTGTAGAAGATGCTGCCCTGTAGGGCTTGGGTTTGGGGGTGAGCTGGCCTGGTGGGGGAGGGCAATGTCAGCCTAGCTTCCTCTACCTTCTGTAGGCTCTGGAGTCAGACAGACCAAGGTTGGGTCCTGACACTGTCTCTTATAACTGTGACTTTGGGAAGTCACTCCTCTGAGCCTTAGTTGGCCCATCTGTAAAATGGGGTTAAACTCTCATGAGACTTGTGGGGTTTTAAAAAGATAATGAATGAAAAATGCACAAGCACAGTAGAGACACCCAGCAAGCCCTCAACACATGATCTCCTCCTCCGCTGCTGCTGCTGCTGCTGTGGCGCTGCTACAAAGACGAGGCCACGCACAGAATTGCACAGCGTTTGGCCAGTTCCAGAGGGAGGTCAGCCTGGTCACCTGGGGAAGGCTTCCTCCCTGTCTGGTCCCACTGATAATGACACCAGGTCCCCGGGCCTGGCACAGGAAGCTCAGAGGTTCTGGAAGGGAGAGTCACCCTCCCCGCCCCTCCCCCAGCACCCCACCCCCACTTACCAGGATGCGGGTGTCCCTGTGAGATGGGATGGGGACCCCTTAGCCTGAGGCAGCCTATTTCTCTTCCTTTCCTCTCACTGCTTCTCTGTGTTTAACTTTGCCAAAGCCAGAGACTTGCTCCCCTGAGACAGGGAAAGAGAGGAGGAGGGAGGAGGAGGGAGCTAGGGACGAAGTGAGGAGGCAGAGGAGGTTCTTCATTGTTTAAAGAGGAAAGTGGTCATCTGGATCTTTTCATCTCAGGCTGAAATTGGTGACATTAGGTAGTGTATTTAAGATATCTGTACCGGCCCCTTGCCACCCCCTTGGGAAAAGAGCTCCCTCAAAAGCATGATGCAGTTTACATAATAAAAGAATGGAGGCTTTGACAAATAAAAATTATTAAAGACCATCAGGCCCTGCCAGCATGGCTCAGTGGTTGAGCATCGACCTATGAATCAGGAGGTCACAGTTCGATTCCCAGTCAGGGCACATGCCCAGGCTGCGGGCTAACCTGTGTGGGGCGTGCATGAGGCAGCTGATCAATGATTCTCTCTTATCATTGATGTTTCTATCTCTCTCTCCCTCTCCCTTCCTCTCTGAAATCAATTATATATACATATATGAACATCAGAGTCTGCAGTCCAGTTGGCCATCCGACACCCATTTCCAGGGTTGGACTGCTGCTTCCATACCTGATGTGTGTCCTTCCCTCTGCTGAGAGCAGGCTGGGGGTGTGTCTGGTGGAGGGTAGCAGTATCGGCTTGGGCTCAGGTTGGAGCTGAAATCCTGCACTTCAGCCCTTTCCAGAAATAATCAGTCTGAGCAAAGGTCCTAAGAGCCGGGATCACTCCCAAGTCAGGTTCTTCAGGCAGGATCTTCTGGCTCCTCCCACAGAGGGGCCTCTGGCTCCATTTCCATCCTCCTCCACTCCTCTATACCCAGTTCCCCCCAAATCTGCAGGGAAAGCCCTGGGCCTCCAGTTTTCTGAGGGCCTGAGAAATCCCCGAGGACCCGGCAGCCCCCACTCCAGCCTGGCAGAGAGCAGGCGAGCTCTCTGGGGGAGGTCAGCCCGTGTGTGAAGCCTTGGCGCTCTCTCCGGATCTGAGCTTTGATTAGCCTGGAATGTTCCTGGTCTGGTTCTGAGTGAGGTCCGCAGGGAGATGGTGTGAGGGTGTCCCAGGTTCCTCAGGCTTAGAAACCCACAGGCCTGCTTTCAGGGCCTAGGATTTCCGGCCCACAAAGCCCTCTACTCTTGCCTCTGCCGATCTCACCTTCCTCGCCCGCTCCCCCCTTCCCCGAGCCCTGCTCATAGGGCCTGCTCTGCCCCTACCACCTGTCATCCCTTTCGTCTCTCCGATTGATTTCTATTCTTTCTTTAGGACTCCCTTCTAGGAAGCCAAGCTGACCCCTTCCTGTCTCAGGCTAGGCTAGCTCTCCTGCCATGTCTCCATCTCTAGAGAACCAAGCTTCTGTCCCCTCTCACCACTGCAACCTGCCTGAGGACAGGGACAGTGCCACTGCTGGGCCCTGGCACACACACAGGACCTGCATGTGGAAGTTGCTCAATGGATCAGTGAGTGGTGCTTGACCTCGTGACTTTAAGAGGCCACAGTTTATAGTAAATGTGCAAGTGGGAGGGGGTGACTCCTGCCCTCAAATGCCTGCCCATACCTGAGGCTGCCTCTCCCCCCTCTAAGTCCTGGATTTTAGGCCCCCTTTCACTTCCACCCCACCCCCACCCCCTTGTCACAGCCTGTTGAGGGCTGTGGAGGTGGTACAGCAGGGGAGCTAACATGGGGCCACCTGCCAGCTGAAGGACCTTGATCCGTTTCCTCTTCTGTAAAATAATTACAGCACCTTCTTATGGTGGTTTTGAGGAGTAGGTGTAACAATTCCCATAAAATGCCCCTTCCCGTCCCCTGGACAAAGGGTGACTCTCTTTCCTGAGGGTCTGCGATCTCCTCCGGAGAGGGGAAGGCAGCTCTGGTTCTGGCTTGGCACCCTATTTGCAGTTCTGCAACCCTCCTCCCCACCCATTTCCTCCCTAGGGCCATACCTTCCCCAGTGCAGAAGCCAGGGGGATAGCTCTAGGGTGAGTGGTGTCCTGGGGAGGCTCCTGGGCACACAGGACAAATGAGTGGCTTCAGTGGCAGGTTCTCTGCCCCCAGGTTTGTTTGGCTCTGGGTTCGGGGGGCACTTTAGGGGCATGGCCAGGCACCTGGGGAGCTTAGCCATCAGAAATACGGAATCTTTGAGCAGGCTAGCTGCTGCGTCCCTGCCCTGACATCTGGAGGCCTCACTCCCCACCCTCAGGTTAGTATCCCAAAACCAGAAAGACAATCTATGTGAAGAGAGGATGAACTTGACCAATGGCCAAGGTCAGCATGGCACTCACCCCTTCTCTGCAGTGCCCCTCCATCCCCCAGCTCAGACACCTGGGGATGGTGTACAGCAGTAGTTCTCAACCTTCTGGCCCTTTAAATACAGTTCCTCATGTTGTGACCCAACCATAAAATTATTTTCGTTGCTACTTCGTAACTGTAATGTTGCTACTGTTATGAATCGTAATGTAAATATCTGATATGCAGGATGGTCTTAGGCAACCCCTGTGAAAGGGTCGTTCGACCGCCAAAGGGGTTGCGACCCACAGGTTGAGAACCGCTGGTGTACAGGAAGGATGGAAGGCATGAACCCTGGAGGTACACGTCTCTTTTAATCCTAACCAGCTGTGTGTGACCTTGGGCAAGTAACTTCATTTCTCCAAACCTCAGTTTCCTAAGCTACAAAATGGGGGTAGGTCTCCCAGTAGGTATCCCTTGGAAAGCTACAAAGACCTATAATAACAAAAGCGGAATATGCTAATTAGACCGGATGTCCTTCGGGGAAGAAGCTGGGGCTGGGAAGAAAGCCCAGGTCCCAGGTGCCTGCTGGCACCGCCAGAGGGAAGCTGGTGCTGGTAGCCGGGGGAAGGAAGGCCTACTCTTGCACTAATTTTGTGCATTGGGCCTCTAGTTAAATAATAAAATGCATATAATGCACTGAGCTCAGAGTACACATATTAAGTGAGTAATAACTGGTAGTATTGCTATAATTATTTTCAGTCCCTTACTGTGTTCCCAGCATCTACCCAGGATACTTTAATGCTGTCCAACCTAATAGAGTCTGAATCTGTTGAACATTTATAATATTTCAAAGAGGAGCAGGTAACTGAAATGAGAGGAGAGAGGGGCCCACCAGGTTCTAAGGAAAGGGTTGCTATCCTTTTCTGCCCCCACCCCACACCAGGGCCCCACGTGGTTCTGCTGCTGTCCTTACCTCTTTATGTCCAAAAGTTCAGGGAGGTCTTGCTCCATCTTCCCCATGCCGGCAGCCCTGCCACCTGAGGAC